TTTGCACTCGGATCCTTGGCACCTGTGTATGTCTACAAAGTCATCGGGTAGATTTCAGTGGTAATGTTCATCACCTCTATTAATTAACATGACATAAACTTTTATGCTTCCTCCTCAAACATAATACATTTTTAAAATTTTGTTGATTTTTTTTGTGTGTGTATATCACACAGAACATTCCAAACCATCTTATTCAAATATAAACCCACTTCCAAGATGGCACCCTCCCATAGCCTCCCTCCCCCACTAGAGCCCTTATACTCTAATGTCCCTGCTACTGTCTGCTGTGTTGTCAGCTCCCCCAGCCATTCCCCACTATTTGCTCTTCTGGTGAATCTAGTCAGCCTATCTAGAGGTCTTTGTTTTAGGAGGGTCAGCTGTTCCTTATCTAGCAGCAATTAGTTGTCAATATCCTTTAGAAAAGATTGGGGTCTGCTGTTCATTTTCCCAGTTCTATGCTGGATTACTATCTGGGAGTCCCTTTGGCCACCATGGCCAACAACTCAAAAGAAGGTATCACCTGTCTGGCATTGTTACTTGTTATGTAGCCTTTAGCTATGCCTATGGATTCTTAAGAAATTATATTGGCCCCTTTAATCTTTGGTTATACTTTCCTTTGGGGTGTTTAAGGCCATACAGTTGGCCCAGATAAACCAATTTATTTTTACTCTTAAGGTCTTTTGAGGACTTTTCCTCGGGGGTCACATTGGCTTGGGGGGAGCCCCTGGCTCCTTTCTTTTACCAGTTCCACCTATGTGAAGATAAGTCAAAGGTCCTGCTTGACCATGGTTGGCTTTGCTTGGAAGCATGGAGGAAATGATTCCTCTGTGTTGACCCTGCTCTTTGTAGACTGGACAATGGTCAAGTCCATCTGGTAGGGTCTCCTCTGCCTCCTTTATCAAGAGGACAGGTGACCCACCACAATTGCAGGACATTTTGAGAGATGCTCATAGTCCCCTGGAACTAGTCGACTTAGGAGGGCAAGGAGCACAAACTGTCCTTTATAACCCTCTGACCAAATTATTATAAGCCTCAAAGTATGTCTGTTGAATATCCAAGAAGGTTAGTTCCATCACTCTGGTACTTTCAGTTACTGTGTGTCGTATAGATAAATCTTGGGCAATAACCAGTTGTTCTCAGATAAATCCTACCTAGACATATATTTCTTGATCTGCTATGAATAATTTGTCAGTAGGTTGTAGGAGTAATATGGTTCCACCTGGTTTTCAAAACTAGCTAGGCATTATTTGTCTCTCTATTTTCTCACCCCTCCTCATGGTTTTCCCACTTAAGCTGCCCCCTCTTTCTCCCTTACTAATACCCTTCTCCTATGGTCCTACCTCTCTTGAGATCCTTCTTTCCCTTTATCCCCTAGGTTCCTTGTATACCCTTCCCTCCCCCCTCCCTTAAACTAACCCAATTTTTATCCATAATCTCCCTTATTAATGCCTGTTTCCTACTGTTCTTCTCTTTCAGGTTCTTTCTTTACCTTTACTTCCCTGTTTCCTTTCCATTATCCTGGTTCCTGTAGTTATGTCTGGATACATACTCAGTTATCAGGGTTTTGTTCTAGGATCCACATATGAAGGAAAACATATGTCAGATTTTTTTCTGAGTCGGTGTGACTTCACTTAGTATAACAGTTTGTAGTTCCATCCATTTATCTGCAAATTTCATGATTTCTTCTTTCTTTATGGCTGAGTAAAACTCCATCGTATAAATGAACCACATTTTCATTATCCACTCGTCAATTGATGGACACTTATGTTGCATCCATCTCTTAGTTATTGTGAAAAGAGCAACAACAAACATGGATGTACAAGTGTCTCTGGAATAGGATGAATTCATTAGGTATATGCCAAGGAGTGGTATAACTGGGTCAAATGGTAGTATTTTAAGAGTTCTCCACACTGCTTTCCATAGGGGTTGAACAAGTTTGCAGCCCCACCAGCAGTGGATGAAAGTTCCTTTTCCCCACATCCTCTCTGACATTTGGTATCATTTGTTCTCTTGATCTTAGCCAGTCTCACTGGGGTAAGATGAAATCTTAAAGTGGTTTTAATTTGCATTTCCTTAATTATGAGTGATGTTGAACATCTTTTAAGATGTTTCATAGCCATCTTTACTTCTTCTTTTGAGAACTCTTTGTTCAGCTCCTTAGCCCATCTTTTAATTTGGTTGCTTCTTGTCTTGATTCCCTGTTTTTTTAGTTTGTTTTATGTTTTTGATATTAAAACTCTGTCGGATATGTCGCTGGTCAAGATTTTCGCCCATTCTGTGGATTTTCTGTTTGCTTCTCTGGTTGCCTCCTTTGATGTACAGAAGATTTTTGGTTTAATTGCATCCCGTTTGCTAATTCTTGCCCTTGTTTCCTGAGCAATTGATGTCTTGTTTAGAAAATCCTTTCCTACACCTATATCTTGTAGGTTTTTCCCAATGTTTTCTTCTAACAGTTTCAGAGTTTCAGGCTTTACATTGAGATCTAAGTCTTTGAACCATTTGGAATTTACTTTTGTGCAGGGTGAAAGGTAGGGGTTTAGTTTTATTCTTCTATAGGTGGAGATCCAGTTTTGCCAGCACTATTTGCTGAACATGCTGTCTTTCCTCCAGTGAATATTCTTGGCCCCTTTGTCAAATATCAGGTAGCTGAAATTGCATTTACTCATATTTGGGTCTTCAATTTTGTTCCGTTTATCTACAAGTCTATTTTTGTGCCAGTACCATATTGTTTTTATGACTACATCTCTGTAATACAGCTTAAAATCTGGTGTACTAATCCCCCCACCCCTGGCATTGCTCTTAGTGGTCAGTGATGTTTTGGGTGTCTGAGGTCTTTTGTGCTTCTGTATGAATCTTAGGATTTTTTTTCCCAATTCTGTGAAAAATGTCATGGGTATTTTGATTGGGATTGCGTTGAATCTGTAAATAACTTTTGGTGGGATGGTCATTTTCACAATATTAATTCTTCCAATACATGAGCATGGGAGGTCCTTCCATCATCTGATATCTTCCTCAATCTCTCTCTTTAAAGATTTAAAATTTTCATTGTAGTGCTCTTTAATGCCTTTGGTCAGGTTTATTATGAGATTTTTCTTTATTATTTTTTTGGCAGCTATTGTGAAGGGGAGTGTTCCATTTGCTCTTTCTCTGATTGCTTGTTATTGGTATATAGACTGGCTATAGACTTTTGTAAGTTAATTTTGTAACCTGCCACTTACTGAACGTGTTAATAATTTCTAGAGGTTTTCTGGAGGAATTTTTGGCATCTCTTAGTATCATATCATCTTCAAAAATGGATAATTTGATTTCTTCTTTTCCAATTATTACTCCTTTAATTTTCTGCTCTTGTCTTATTGCCCTTCCAAGAGTTTGAAGCACTATGTTAAAGAGAAGTGGAGATAGAGGATAGCTTTGTCTGGTTCCTGATTTCAGTGGGAATGCTTCCAGTTTTTCCCCATTTAGAATGATGTTGGCTGTGGGTTTGTTGTATATGGCTTAATTATGTTGAGGTATATTCCCTCCAGTCCAATTTCCTCTAGGACTTTGAACACAAATCCCTATTGAATTTTGTCAAAGGCCTTCTATTCATTTATTGAGATAACCATATGGTTCTTGTCTTTGAGCCCATTTACATGATTTATGACGTTTATTGACTTATGTATATTGAACCATCTCTGCATCATGGTGGATGATCTTTTTTATGTGTGTCTGTATGCAGTTTGCAAGATTCTTGCTGGAAATTTTTGCATCTATGTTCATTAAGGATATGGGTCTATAGTTTTCTTTTTTGGTTGTATCTTTATCTGACTTTGGTATTAGAGTGATGCTGGCTTCATAGAAGGAATTTGGGAGGTCACCCTCCATTTCTATCTTTTTGAATAAATTAAGTAGTATTGGATGTAATTCTTCTTTAAATGTCTGATAGAATTCTGCTGTAAATCCATCTGGTCCCGGGCTTTTTTTAGGCGGGAGGTTTTGTATTACTGTTTCAGTTTCTCTCTGTGTTATGGGTCTGTTTAAGCTGTTACTCTCTTCTAGGTTTAGTTTTGGTGGTTCCCATGCCTTTAGATATCCATTCATTTCTTTTAGTTTTTCAAATTTAGTAGCATATAGGTTTTTAAAGTATTCCCTTATAATGTTCTGTATCTTTCTGGTGTCTGTGGTTACAGACAAATTCATCTCTGATTTTTGTTGATTTGGAGGGGCTCTTTCTTTCTTTTAGTTAGCTGGGCTATCAATCTGTCAATCTTGCTTATTTCTTGGATTTGTTGATTCTTTGTATTGTTTTCTTTATTTCAATTTCATTAATTTCTGCCCTGATTTTTGTTATTTCTTCTTGTCTGCCAGGTTTAGGTTTGAGTTTTTGTCTTGAGTTGCAACGTTAAGTCATTTATTTGTGTTCTTTCTGATTTTTTGATGTAGGCACTTAGAGCTATAAACTTCCCTCAAAGGACCACTTTCAGCGTGTCCCAGAGATTTTGTTGTGTTGTATTGTCCTTTTCATTTAGTTCCAGGAATACTTTTATTTCTTTCTTAATTTGTCTTTTGACCCATTCATCATTCAAGAGTATGTTGTTTAATCTCCATGTGTGCCTGTGGTGATTAGGGCTTCTTCCAGTGTTGATTGTAAGCTTTATTGCATTGTGGTCTGATAGAACACAAGGAATTATTTCAATCTTATTGTATTTGTTGAGGTTTGTTTTGTGCCCCAGTATATGGTCAATTTTGGAGAAGGTTCCATGGCATGCTCAATAGAAACTATGTCCTTTGGTGCGTAGGTGGAATACTCAGTAGATGTCTGTTAAGTCCATTTCACATGTGATATTGTTTAATTCAGTTGTCTCTCTCTTAACTCTCTTCCCTGGTGACCTATCAAATGGAGACAGTGGGGTATTGAAGTGCCCTACTATTAATGAGTTGGGATTAATCTGGGTTTTAAAGTCTTGTAGCATTTTTTTATGAAGTTGGGTGCACTGGAGTTTGGTGAAAAAAAAATATATATATATGTGTGTGTGTGTGTGTGTTCATGATTGCAATGTCTTCTTGATTTACTGTTCCTTTGATCAGAATGAAGCGGCCCTCTTTATCTCTTTTGATTAGTTTAATTTAAAGTCTATTTTATCAGATATTAGAATTGCTACATCTGATTTTTTTCTTAATACCTTTTGCTTCATATATTTTTTACATCCTTTCACTTTAATATAGTGTCTCTTCTTGAAAGTGAGATGAGTTTCTTGCAGACAACAAACAGATGGGTTTTGTTTCTTAATCCATGCACCTAGTCTGTGTCTTTTGACTGGGTAGTTCAATCCATTAATATTTAAAGCTATTAATGAATGATGAGTATTGAATCCTGTCATTTTTATTTCTGTTTACATTCTTGATATAGCTGTACTTTTCCACAGTTACACTTTCATTGGATTTCTTTCTGCAACCCCTTGGGTATAGTCATTCCTTTCTTCAGCTCTTTGTATTGCTTCCAGAACTCCCTGAAGGGCTGGTTTTGTGTACATGAATTCTTTCAGCCTATTTATGTCATGGAAGATTTTTCTTTCCCCTTTGACTATAATAGACATTTTGGCTGGGTATAGTAATCTGGGTTGGCCTCTGTGGTCATTTAAAACTGGGAATACTTAGGTCCAGGCTTTTCTGGCTTTCATAGTTTTTGCTGAGAAGGCCACTGTAATCCTAATGGGTTTTCCTTTATATGTGATTTGTGGTTTCTCTTTTGCAGCTATCAGCATTGTCTCTTTGTTTTGTACGTGTAGTGTTTTTATTATGATGTGCTGTGGACAGTTTCTTTTCTGGTCCTGTCTGTTTGGTATTCTGTATGCTTCTTGTATTTATATGGGCATGTCTTTCTTTAATTTTGGGAAGTTTTCTTCCACAATTCTGC